TTTTCACATTTCGTGTAGGTAACAATTCTTCTGTATCTGAAACTCTTCTGATGGGAAGAAATGCGGAAAAAATTATATAATGACATATTTTTATATTCTATTTCAGAGATTTTCTACAATTTTTTTTTATATAAAACAAGTTTAATTTTCTGTAGATAATTATATTATAAAATTCGGCATAAAATTCTGCATATAGTACACTGGCCTTTATTTAAAGCACACTGCGGTGTTGCCATTCTATTTTTTATTTACTAAAACTTTGGTTAAAAATATTATACAGGGTGTCCCAGAAATAAGTGCAAATATTTTAAGGGGTGGTAGATCTCGATAAAAGAAACATATTTTCTCTTTATCGTTTTTCAAGTCCAAAATTAGGGAGTTATTTTACTTTGAAAATTTCCAAAAAAAAATATTATTTGCTAAAATTTTGAGAACCACTGGATCTTTTCTGGATTTTCTTACTTGCAAATTTAATCTAATATCTATATTTGCACATGAGAAACATGTATCAAGAAATTATGTTTTTTAACTAAAAACTCTAAAAAAATTTCCAAAAAATTTCGAATTTTCAAAATTTCGCAAAAAAAAACCTCATAGGCGTGTTTCTGGGGTTGAACTATACTACCAGTTAAAATATTTGCACTTATTTCTGGGACACCCTGTATACGAAAAGTGGTAAAAAACTAGAGTGAATATAACTTTATTAATACTTAGCTATGTTTTCTTAAACATGAAGGATACCAGAATAAATTCGTGTAGAAAAATTTACTTTATCCTATACAGGGTATTTTTTTTGGCGTCACCAAAATCGTAATATTTAAAATGTTGTATCTCATTTTTTTTAAATGCAACACCTTGTATATTATTTTTCCTTCAGATGTAGAATTATTAAAAGGTGAACATTTTTTGTATTTAAAGTGTTAGCTTAAATTTTGAGCCGTTTTGCAAATATTTTCTGTATTTTATTACATATGGGATTTTCAACCATAAAATATCAGACAAAGATCATATTAGGGTGGCTTTGATAAAAATTTACTGTTGAAAGAGCCGTAATATGTAATATAATACAGCCAATATCTGCGAAACCGTTAAAAATTTAGAAACACTTTAAATAAAAAAATGTTCACTTTTTAATTCTGCATCTGGCAGAAAAATAATATGTATACAGAATGTTGCATTTAAAAAAATTGAGATATACCATTTTAAATATTCCGATTTTGGTGACGCCATAAAAAATACCCTATATGGAATAATGTATATAGAATGATGTAAAATAATTAAAAAAAATAAAACTAACTTTACCATAACTTTTTTGTGACACCCTCTATATAACCAAAAATATATTAGGAGACGCTCCTTTATAAACCTTGAAACATATGAATAAAACTTTTTTCACATCTTCGACAACAACGACGATATTGGACTTCCTCGCACTAATGGGCAACCCTGTATATTTACGGTGTTTTAAAGCTAGGTGTGGCACTTTTCTTCCCTCAAATGTAAACTCAATATTTTGTCTATAATATTTTGAATATAGTTATATTACGACAACTTATAATAAAAAATAAATAAAATAAAAAAAAACAAAAAAAACAGTCCACTAAATTTATAAGAGATTATGCTATTACAAAATTCTTTCAATTAAAAAATATGAATAATTTGCGGAGACTTTAGATGTACAAAATATTTACTCTAAAATTGTTTCAAAAACCAATCTATATAAATTATATCTCGTAAGTTATTAAAACGGAAGGAAAATTTTATGGCAAATCCCCTGACCAAAAAATATTTTCATGCGCATATTTGAGGATACAACCTGTATATCTAAAAAACTATTTTTAAAATCTACCCACATGCTAAAAAAATAATAACATTTAATTAATTACATAATATCTCAGCTTCTAAAATAAACAAATATAATAAAATGTTTATTGATAATTACTATCAGCTTGCCGATTTACATCCGAAGGAAATCTAAAAAAAACTCAAAGAACAATTTATTGAATTATTACTACAATTAATAGCAGCACACAGAGTAAGGCACTCATTTTTTGTCAATCCGTCTCTGTGCTGGGACACAACGCTCGAACCTCGCAGCTCGACGGACGGAATTCAACTGAAACGCTTTGCAATCTGCCGATATTCGACAGATTGCAAAAACTGGCAGAAAATATTTGCGAGAGTGCAACTACTCTATTCCTTAAACTATGTTTCTACTATCATCCCCTAGTTAATAGCAATATATAATAATAGTTCTAGCACCCCTTTCTCGGTTAATTTTGATTTGAGCAAAAAAAGTATATAGACCATTTTTATGTAAAATTTGACGCTCTACAACTTTTATTTTGACTTTTTTTTCTAGTCCTTGTCGTTTCTCCGAAATTGCGAAAAAATACTTTATTTACGTATTTCACCCTTTCTCGGGGGTGAATTTAAAAAAATATTTTTTGCGAAAGCGTTTCGAAATTGGCAGTTTTTGATATTTATTTTCTGTTCAGGTAAATCATTGTGCGGAGCATCGAATATTTACTCCACAGAGTTGACGGCTTTAAGGTAGTGGATTACTTCTAATCTAAGGAGCTGGCTACATAAAAAACTTTATCACCGTTACATGGCTAATTTTTTGTGTGAAGTATCCTTTTGTGTAGCCATTATGAAATAGTCATGTCTGCCAGCGCGATCCCGGGGCTTAAAGCGGGGGCGGCCAATCGAAAGGGTGAAATTTTGACACTAAAAATATTATAAGGTACACAAGTTATAATTGCGAAAATAGCTTTTATTTATTATTAAGAAACGTAAAAAATCCTTGGCAGACATTTTTCTGGCCGTTAAAATGCCGACAGACAACGCGAGGGGGCATGAAATTTTAAAAATAATCTCGAAAATTATTAAAAAATGAAATTTTAAGAATGAAAAAAAATTATGGCATACATGCATGCCGATTGGTGGAATGTCAGATTTATTTATTGCAAAAACCGTATTCAAAAGGGCAGACAAAAAGATCGTTGCTGAATCAGCTGCAGACAGTTACCAAAAGCGCGATATTACTCTGGCGCTTTCAGGGAACGCTCGCCGCCTCATCCATTTAAGTATAGATAAATCATGTATACGATTATATTATAAATATATTTTTTTATTATTTCAAAACAGATATCATACATTTACTATTCTGTCTCACTATTTGTATCTGACTCATCGTACTGTAGATCCCCGCTCTCGCAAACGAGTCTTCCTCTAAGTCGATATCTGCACCATAAAATTTTTGTAGACTTACAGGTATTATGTTTCGATTGGTAACGCGGCCAGCGTTTCCTAAAAACGCTTATACAGGGTGAGTGTTAAATAAGTGAAAATACTTTTTGGAAAAAAAAGATGTAAAAAATCGTGCATTTTTTTTAAATTTTCCTGTATATTTTAGAAAACTTTTTAGAACTGCCTGTTCACCGCAAATTTACCAACGGTATAATTATTTCTTAACCTACCATATGCTTACAGCTCTATGACTACGACACTAAAATAATGGATGCAAGTACGTGTCTCACAAAATTATTTAAAAAAAATCAATTTCTTTTTAAATTTAAAAAAATCAATTTCTTTTTAAATCAAACTTGAATAACTCGGTTATTTTGTACTTATTTGGAAAACCGCAATAAGAAAATATGTTTCTTTTATCAAGATCTACCAGCTCAGAAAATATTTGCACTTATTCAAGATTCACCCTGTAGTGTAATATCGCGTTTTTTATAACTGTCTACCGTCGATTGAGCCACGATTTTTTTGTCTGTCCTTTTGTATACGGTTTTTTAAATAAATCAATATGACATTCCACCAATTGACATGCATGTAGGCGATGATTTTTTGTCAAATTCCATGCCTCTTTCGGGTTGTCTGCCGGCATCTTAACCACGAGAAAAATGTGTCAACAGTTTTACACGTTTCTTAATAATAAATAAAAGCTATTTTCGCAATTATAACACGTGTACCTTATAATATTTTTAGTGTCAAAATTTCACCCTTTCGATTGGCCGCCCCCGCTTTAAGCCCCGGGATCGCGCTGGCAGACATGACTCTTTCATAATGGCTACACAAAAGGATAGTTCACACAAAAAATTAGCCATGTAACGATGATAAGGTTTTCCATGTAGCCAGCCCTCTCGGTCTATTCAAGAAATAGGCTAGCAATACCTTTTCTGCGAAATTCTCAACATGTTTTTCTTTGACTCAGGTTTCAAAGTTGTTGTAGGTGGTCTCGTATAAGTTTTTCGACTTCTCGGGCACTAACGTGGATAGTGCAGTTTCAGCAGCTTGTTGAATATCCAAAGACTCGTCATTATCACTCATTTTTTCACAAAACTTTGTAGGAAATACGGCGATGTTTGAACCTGGCAGAACTTTGTCATTAAACAATGCATAAACAATGCCTTAGGAACCGATTACCAGAACATTTTAAAAAATGTTTAAAAATAAATAATAATAATAATGGCATGAAAATCTCAAATTATCCGCTTTCTCAAAAAATCTTGTATGAAATTCGTTGCGAAAAAAATGTTTTAAGCACTCGACGCATTGTGGCAATTTGGCGTCCCGTGCTTAAAACACATTCATTTCGCAACTTGTTACTTAAATAGCATAATACAAAGAATACAAGCTGATACAAGGTATGATATTGCGCAGGTCGCAGGTTGATCACTACGCCACAGGTGATAAACGGCACCATTGGTCGGCAAGCTCCGCGCGTCAATTTCAAATTGTCAAACATATGACACAATAAATGTGAAAATAATTTTTCAAATGTCAAGCTAGATGATTTGACATAACTTTTGGGGTTATGTCCTAATTCTTCCCTATTTTAGGCTTTTTTTTAGTGGCAATTCTTCTATTACAGTTCGTTTTTAGATCTGTCGAATAACTCAAATCAAAAATTTAAGTTTTTCCCAAACATTCGTATTTGAAGGCCTATTTTCTTGAACTAATACTTTAAAATGAATTTGCAAACATACCAATCTAAGCACTTCTCTTTTATAATCCCAAATGTTCCATTTATATGAAGGATCTATATATTTCTCGAGTTGCTCTTCGGTCTCTACAGCTTTATCTTCGCACATTCTTAGATTAGTTTTACTTTGAACTAGACTAAAATACATCATAATGAGATTAATGATGATAAGATAAAAAGATAATTCTTACTGGTCAATTGAGTACACCCTTTCCAATTCTTCTTTGAGCTGTAAAAAGTCGATCAACTCAGGTTTTTCTCTAGCTAAATCCAAGACATAGTTTATGTACCTGGAATAAAAGTTATTAGTTCAAAACAACAACTTCTTTGAGAATACTTACAATTGAGGATCTTTACAAAATTCCTCCGATGCTTCTATCGTAGAAAAGACAAAATTCTTTCCTTTGTATCTAGCAATGCCCATACTTGGATTTCCCGGTATCAAAGCTCCTTTTGTTTTAATTAGTTTCCAGCAACAAAATCCCAAATACTGGAAATAGAACAAAAGTGAATATTTGCATAAAACATCCATACAAGTAGAGATAAGTAATTTCGATTTTTCTCATATGGTACTCTAGTTCTATAATTGCCTCTAGTTTGAGACGTGTTTGATTAATTTTAAATGATTAACATCTATAGAGCAACACAAGATTTATCTGCCCTATACTATATTTTATTTGAATCATATGTTCTTTAAATCTGCACTCACCGGCACGATAAACGGGCACCTTAAAATTTTCATTGGTTTTAAAGTTTAATATACAATAGTGTTCTAGTGGACCGATTTTTACGATATTTTTAAGCAATTTGTAGCTAAATTATTTGACTTTTTAGTGCCTCTAAATTAAAAACGATAGTTGCCATCTGTCAATTATACGAGGGAAAACACAATGCTGTAAGGTATTTTGGTGAAAGTTTGAGATACCTGGTGGGGTAGGTTAATAAAGCAAGAAATTTAAAAATCATTTTATAGTCTAGTTGTATCTTTTCTTGAGTTTATTTTTTTAGTTTGTTTTTTGGTTCATCTCAATAGTTTTATTTTTTTTGGAGATATTCGCTTTTGAACAAGACACTAACATTTTTTCGTATTTTTTATATTAAACCCATGATATAAGGAGGGTTAGATAAAATATTACGCATCTAATGGGTGGAGCTTAACAGAAAATTACTATCCGGGTGACGTCATGCGCGCGGAGAACCGATTTGCCACCGCCAGGGATCTTTTGAGAGAAGATCTTGCGCATGTAGTTGGCGGAGCTTAACAGAAAATTACTACCCTAGTGACGTCATGCGCGCGGAGAACAGATTTGCGACCGCGAAGGATCTTATCTAACAATCTAACCTTCTTGTATCATGCATTAAACCCTTACCTCTTAATAGAAGATTATTTTCTTTTATCTATGACCCTTACCTTTGCTTTTGGTCCTAGTCAACAGACCTATAAAATAGTATTTATGATTTTGTAGCGTTTTTTTAGAACTACCACTGCGAAGAGCGGCTTTTCATCGGAGAGCAGTCGTGGGTAAGGTATTTCACTAGAGAGAAAACTAATCAATAACAATAAACAAAAAAATACAGATATTGGGCGCCAGGCATGTGAGAAAGAAAACACAGTTGTATATTACTTAAAACTAATGACTATATTTATTCATGATGTTCGTTGCTGATACATGACATTGTAGAGTTCTAGTGAATATGTAGTGGTTATATGTCAAAAAAAGTGGTGGTAAGAGTTGTACTAAATATCTATGAAAACAACTATGATAAAATACAAGACATGTAAAGTTTAAGAGAATATATGAAATGTAGCATTACTTTAATTAATTTGATATATTTTATATGATGTTAGTGCAATAATAATATCTATAAAAAAGTAATACTATTACAAGACATAATGCAATGAAACCTAAGATCTAAATTATATTTTAACTACTAAATCGACATGAATGTTCTTAACAATCTAACCACTCAACATAGTCTATACCATATTATTTAAGATGTACGTTATTGTTTAAGACTGTAAATGTTTTGAATGTTAAATGCAAAACTATAACTTAAATCTACACTTAGCTGTTCTTTATGCAATCCTGCTTTAAACAGTAACAGCGTGAGGTGGTCTCGCATCTCTGTACTCAGCCATCCAACACAACCAAAGGGGCCAGAATGAGGACACCATGAATTTATACAGCCATAACTAACTAGCTTATAGCTGGGAACGAAGCAGCATGGGACTCAAGCTACATCCACGCTGTGGCACTTATATGTAAGAAAAAATCATTCTTACTGGGGACACTCGTCCACAGGACATCCGTACATAAGATAATGTCCGTACATAAGACACTACCCGTACCTTGGACACAGTCCGTTACCTTGGACACAGTCCGTACCTTAGACCCTAAAAATATGAAACTCTTGTTTAAAACCAAACAAGGTCTAATAAACAAAATAAACCTACCTCGAAATACTTCCGAGGGCTCAATAAATAATAAACAACCTGTCCTTTCTTCCATGTGACATTCTGGAGGACAAAAGAAAAGGGACGCCAATGTGCCAGCAAAATACAAATACAAGTTGGGACATCCGTAACTCTACCCTAAAAATATTCAATAATAATATCGAATCTATAAAAGGTAATAACTCATCTTTACCTGTAGCCTCGAAATAGCAGCTGATTCAGATTATACAGCAAGATTTAAATAATCACCATTTCTAAAAGCTGGGATACAACAGAGCGTCAAAACAAAGTGAGGTTAAGCACGGAGAGAGTTGACAGAAGCGATGTTGACAGCGCCTCCTCAGGGTGCAGCCACACTATCCTAAAAACAGCGTATCGGCGTAACGGCGTAATGACCTTGAATAGATTTCCAGTAATTCTATTGGCTGAAATTTTTGACAGATGAATTTGACAGATAAAATTTCTGACAGATGAATGTTTCAGCCAATAGAATTACTGGAAATCTATTCAAGGTCATTACGCCGTTACGCCGATACGCTGTTTTTAGGATAGTGTGGCTGCACCCTCAGAGCGATAACAGGGTTGTGTCGAACGATAACAGGGTTGGCGACTAGGGAACGTAAAAATTACGCGTCAAATAAACTATCCGGCCTGAACGAGAGGGAATCCGGTGATGATAGGCCAGACATCATATATTATATATAAAAAAGACATGTAACGAACTAAAAACGTTACAATTTATATGTCACTGTCTTTGAAAAATCATATTATTATTGTCTGTTCGATAGTTACTCTAATAGATATGGTTTTAAGTGCAAAAGTTGATTTTTACCATGATCAATTAAAGCAGCAATAGCCGATACTTCAGGCCTTAAAACCCCTTTATTAGAATAAACGTAAATAAACAATAATAATAAGATTTTTCAATGACAGTGACATTACAAAAACAATAAACACTATTTTATAAGTATGCTGATGAGGACCTAAAATCAATGCTAAAATTGCTGTAAATCGTTACTGTCTTATTCAAAAGCGAATATCTCCAATAGTCCGGCAGCAGAACCCGGATTTTTCCCTGAAGTGCCAATTGTGGGATTAAGTTTTTTTTATGACGGATTATTATAGATCTATATGTCTATTTTCCATATCCGGCTGATGACAAGCTATCACCCTTGGGGAAATCCAGATATACTGGGTGAATAGATGGAAATAAATTATTGTCTGACAGTTTGACACTTGTCAAAGAAAGCTAGATCCAATCAAGAAAAATATACGTTTTCAAACTAAATCTTAAATAACTTAAAAACGATTTATTTTAGGTATAGGAACATGTATAGTTAAAAAGTAACGAATTGAAAAACTTTTTTTTCACTAGTGAAATAAAAAAAGTGGGTTTCCGTTTGATAAAAATGATCTATGATAATTTTTAATCGCTCAATTCCATTACAGCTACCGCCATTATTATATGACATTTGAACAATTTAATTTTTGAAATAGATAGCTACATAAATATCTTCTCTTTATGTCACAGTAGCTGTGGTATCACTAAATTTGACTTTTAGGCTATACAAACTTCTGTGACAGGTATTTTTTTTCGTCGAAAAATGTTAAATATTTTTTTTTTCAAAAACGGTTAATGTTAGGTATAGAGTGTTTACATCAATACTCATAGAATTTTACAGAGAATCTAAATATTTAATAGAAAATGGGGGCACTTATTTAAAATAAGAAAGTTTCTGTCAACTTTCGGTATTTCCGGAAGCGCCGCCATTTTGAAAATATTTTTAATCGATAGATCTCGTTGTAAAACAATGATATGCAAAAAAATCTCCGATCTAGATATTGTGTGGTTCTCTAGAAACTTCTAATGCACGCTCAGCCTGGGACACCCTGTATAATATGTGGATTTTTATTATTGTCAATCAATTTTTAAAACTCTACAGAGAAAAGTTATATTACAGTAAATGTTTTACCTCTAATTTTAATATGTCCATATTTCTAAAACTCTCTGCCGAATAAATAGTTACTTCGGGGTTGTTCGATGTAATTCTTTGATGAGCAGTTAATTTTAACCTCTCTGCATCTGTTAATGACACGCTTTCTTCAAAAAGACTCTCAGGCGAATCTTCATCATGAACCTGACTAGCGTACATTTCCAGGTTTGTCATTATATGACCGAAACGGGCTAGTAAAACGACTTGATCTTGTATTCTTGTCCATATGTCTGATAGTTCTTTAAAGAGCGGCTACTCAAAACAATAGATGTAAGGAAATAGCACTTAAAAATACATAGATACTGGTTGTTTCTCAAAAGTGGCACGCCCTTATAACTTTTTTATTTTTTCAGATAAAAAAAAACGAAATTTGGTACGTTAGTATATTATGACATAAACGGGATCGATTGACGCCTTTGAATAAGAAGACTAAGGAAGGAGCATATCAAAAATCTTAAGTACACCGCGATGGGCCTCAAATATGGCCGACTTAAATTCCGGTTTATCAGTGTCGTTCTAATTTTATTTAAAAAATGTAAAACTATGATGTCCCTACATCATAGTTTTTCTACCCTTAGACGTGGGGTAGACTCAATAATTTGTTGTTTTATTTTACGTTATGAATAAATGTTGGTAGTTATTAAAATTGTTATAAAAATATATAATTCTAATAAAAATAGATAAGTTATAATAAGTATTTATTAACACAAACATCCGATACGCTACTGAAGCAGGTAAGTCAAATTAACGTATCTAAATCATATCTAAATTCTTTGACATCTAATCAAAATTCGTTAATTTGAGTGAATTTCATAAATGATCGGTTTACTACACGTATGTATATTATATAGTCACTTACTAGCGAAAAGTTGTTCCATTATTTCACTCAATTTTTGCCGAGATCTACCGCACGCTACACAACCAACTATTTTAGAGTCTTTTCGATAAATCGCGATAGTGTCACTGTTAATTTAAGTTCTGCCACAATTTCCATCTAGATTTACTACCTTTATAGAACTATCAGTAGTAGAATAAATAATAAATAACATAAAATAAGCTCCGTAAAGACTGACAAATCCACAAAATTTCAAATCAAATTCAAATGTGTCAAATGAATCGTCAAACAGAACTGTCAAGGATCCCCACCCTAAAGTGCTTTTTCCGCCCACCATGCATGAATACATGGATAGCATTATGCTCCTTCCTTAGTCTTCTTATTCAAAGATTGACGCTAATTACTTACGGTAGAATGTAGAATGAGTGAGAGGGGGGTTAATCACTGCGACCTTAAAGCTCTATTGTGCCCCCTTCCTTGAATCATTACACTGTCTATAACCCATCAAACCTCTGTTGTAGAGGAGACAGGGTATTTCCCATCCTCCTCTGACAACAGATGTTCTTTCTCCGAGGGTACACACGCTTCCAAGGTTGGAGTTTGGCCCTCCGTGCCCTTCACAGTCGAGGAGCTTGCCTCCGGCTGAGGTACCCGTGAGGTGGAGGCTGGAGGATCTGTCTCCATTTTCCCCACCTCTCTAACTGGGTCTTTCCTTAGACCTGATACCGGTGTTGTCCCGTATCTATAATAGAGTATATGTCCCTCTTTCTCTATCGCCTCCTTGGATTTGAGGTCAATTTCTATTGTGAAGACCTGACCATGACCCTCCTCCCTCGAGTTGATGACTCGCCAACTCGATGTCCTTACATTGAAGTTCTGACCCTGGATAAGGCTCAGCAGGTAGGTGGTGTCTTTTTCCTTGCTCCTCGGCAAAAAGACCGTGATGGTCGCCCCTTTAGGGATGTTTTCTCCCTTCGCTGCAACCAGTTCCGGCCCCTGCCAATTTTTAAGCATAGGTGCGATTTTCATCAACCAATTCGCCGATTCTTGAGATACACAATCTATGAGGATCATGCCCACCCGAAAGTGTATCCCCGCAAAACGCAACTGGCCCAAATTTTGTAGATCGTTGTGTTGCGATCCGATCGCCACTACTTCGTCCAGTATAGCTTCTTCTAGAGACGTTTGCTGGTCGGTGGTCAGAGCAACCTCTTGGAAATCCTTTGGCAGCACCGCCATTTTCACTTGTCCAGCAATAGCAGCAAAGCTGGTGATACGTCCCTGCTTGCATTCCGGTGTTAGACGGCTTTCTATCCTGGTTTTTTTCTCTCCCTGTCGGAGAAGAGGTCGGTTGGTGGAGATTCTCGCTCCCTCTCTTGCCCTTTAAAGGAGATGAGTCAGGTTGTTTCTTGGTTTCATTACTCTCTCCTTTTCGGAGGAGTGTTTTCGCTTTTGCTTCCTCTGGAACAAGTCCTTCGTGGAGCAGTCGGAGGTATCTCTGTGCTTCTGCTTCGCTAAGACCTACTCTCAGAGAGTCGTCTAGCCCGCCTGGTTGACCCAGGCCGGGTAAACGAAACGGCAGCTTGTGTCGCTTATTGGGTCTAGAGCGGTGGTCTAGAGGTAGACTCCCGACCCTTAGAACCCTGGTTCCTTGGAACTTTCATTCATAAATGTTCCTAGTGTTACTAGGGGGTTTCCCCACAGCTTCACCGGTGGTGTTTTTATCATTGTTTGATTTTATAGTGTTCCCACGAGTAGCTAGGAATACTGACGGTAACTTCGTGTTTCACCGGAAATGACTACAATTTTTGATTTTTAACCTTCGGTATTTTTTAACCTTATTTGGTAAAATATACATTCAGAATAAAATGACAACTTTTGATATTTTCAATTAAAAAAATGCATTTTACATTTTAATCTACAGTATGTATGTCCCCGAATTGTCTTTAAAAGAGAAAAAACCTTTTTATTGTTGACATTTTGAGAAAAATACATTCTTCATAAAAAAATTGCTTGTTCTAAAATGGTTAATCCCGTTTATACTTCTCCAAATTTCCATATTGTTTCAAAGAAAATTAAGAAAAACATGAAAATATGGTTGAATTTTTAAGTCCTAAAAATCAAAACGCGTTTCTATGGTAATATAACTTCGTTTTCATTCTTTGATAGATTGTTAATCATAGAATTTTAATTAATGTAATATTTTTTGTTATTTCAGAATGTTAAAGAAGTACAAAATTTATTTAGTTCAATGCTACAGAAAGGGCGATGATAATTATCGGAAAATGTGATACTTTAACAATAGCAAAGAATATGATATTAATCAAAATTAATTATAACTATTATCTATTAAAGAATGAAATCAAATTGATATTACCATAGAAACGCGTTTTGATTTTTAGGACATAGGAAAAAATGCAACACTATTTTCATGTTTTTCTTAATTTTCTCTGGAACGGTATGGAACTTTCGATGAGCCACATTCGTTCCATTTGAAAAAATTGAGTTATGATTTTAAAAATACGATTGGGCACGTTTTAATCGCCCAGAAAAAGACACGAAGAACATTAGACGATCGAACCTATTTTTCCAAAGCTACTTGATTAAAAATTAATGATTTTAACACAGCCATGGCACTCTAGACTGAAATTTAAAATGTTATTTTTTTTCTAATTGAAAATGCCAAAAGTTGACATATGATATGTCTTTCTATTCAGAATGTAATTTTCTATCACATAAAGTAAGAAATACCGAGGGTGCCAAAAATCAGAAATTGTAGTAATTTCCAGTGAAACAGGAAGTGACAAAAAAATTTTTCAGATAAAAAAACATAGGGGTCATAGGGCTGAGCAACTTTTGAGAAACACGGTATATCAGATATCGGAATATCGGACTTACGAACACAACTACCACTGGTATGGCAAGTCTCATATACACCGTATCGTGAATCTTTTCTAATAATTTTTCCATACTTTTTACTATGGATTCCATTCTTGAAACTATCTGGTCTATTTCTTCAATTAATTTTCTGAAATGGAAGTATATTATATATTTATTAGTATAATATATGTATTAAGTATACAGGGTGTCCCAGAAATAAGTGCAAGTATTTTAACTAGTAGTATAGTTCAACCCTACAAACACGCCTATGAGTTTTTTTTTCGCGAAAATTTTTTTTGAAAATTCGATTTTTTTTGGAAATTTTTTTAGTTTTTAGGTAAAAAACATAATTTCTTGATAATATGGCAACATAGGTATTAGATTAAATTTACCAGAAAGAAAATCCAGAAAAGATCCAGTGGTTCTCAAAATTTTAGCAAAAAAAATTTTTTTTGGAAGTTTTCAAAGTAAAATAACTCCGTTATTTTGGACTTATTTCAAAAACGAGAAAAATAGACAAAATATGTTTCTTTTATCCAGATACACCCCTTAAAATACTTGCACTTATTTCTGGGACACCCTGTATATACAGAGTCGCTTTTATGTATGAAAACGGTCGATATTGGGTGAAATATACAAGGTACCGCAAAAATTTAAATACAAAAAATATAGGGTTTTTAAATATCTATTGACGAGTAATAAATTTAAGTATACAGTGTCGGTCATAAAGTTGTGGCACATCAAACTTTATTTTTTTTAAATGAAACCCCCAAATATTATATGCAATTATATTATAATTAATTTATTTTTGTTGCCTAAAATATTTTGATTAAAAGAAAATATGTAAAAGTGGGCAACGCTGTGCCGGTCAAGCTTAATCACGTGATTAAAAGTTTATTTGATATGAACAAAGATATTATAAACTATACAATTTACTCGTGGCCACTGTTCCAGGACCCTGTTTGTATGATCATTTATACTCACCTTATTATAAGTTCATACTGTCTCAAGAAGATCAACAAGTCTTTAAAATATATTATATTAAATGTGGACTGCCATTCTTTGGGTGGTACAAATTCTAACTGGATACCTTTAACGTTCGTTGATTTCATCTCGTAACATTGATCTACGAGGGTGGTCAGTATATTTACTTTTTCCATTACTTGTAACAAAGTGAATTCACTCTTTTGTTTTATAACCGATAGTGCCCGTTTTAGAAGACGGGGTACTGAAATTATAAAACCAATGTCAAATATTTTTTAGTATTAAAGCTTCATTCAGAACCTCCAAATTAGTGGAATAAATTAGTAGTTTCAATTAGCGTAGAAGTGTTCCTTTAATTTCAAAGTAAAGCTTCATTCAGAACCTCGCAATTAGTGAAATAAATTAGGGGTTTAAATTACACTTTATACTTTTTAGTTTACGATCATTAACAATGTTTAAAAAACACAATTAAAATTAATAGAATATCCTAGCAACAGCTTGCGATAGTCAGTTGTATCCATAGAGAAAGCCTAATATTTAGCTTATAATATAAAACAATTAACTTTTGATTTCTAACCACAATTTCTCTTGACGGATGATAATCAAAGACCAAAATGACATTCTTCGCAAGTATATGGGAAAGTCAAAAGTTTGTTAACTTTTTCTACTAATTGAAAATGACTACCACTAATTTTGACGTTCTGAATAGGCATGTTCGGTCTTCCGGTATATCGGTACCAGGACCGGCACTTTTGAAATATTCCGGTATCGGTATCGTCGGTATATCGGTTTAGGTACCGGTACCAGAAGACTGAATTTGGTACCGATACCGGAAGACCGATTTGGGGACCGATACCGGAAGACCGGTTTCAATCGATACCGAGAGACCGGTTTCAATAGGTACAGAAAAATAGATTCATGATAATATGAAAATCAAAAAACATGTACTATAAAAATCTATTATATATAATATTTCTATAATAAAACGATTTTGGTACCGGTTTTTGTGTAAAACTGATTGTGTTCTCCAACTCTAGGCACCGTATGATCGAAAAAAAAACTGCGTCAGCAGTGGCTATGAAACGAAGATCGCTGTCATTTTATATGTAAAATTATATGGGAAATGTAATCGATGTTCATTTCCAAGCCAACTGGACGCCGGTTTTTTTATCATTCGGTATAATACGGTCAGGAACATGCAATGTAATTGATTTTGATGTATGTTTAAGGCATTGCTAGTCTAGTTTGGTCTAGTAATCTAGTTTTCTTTTTTAGTACATCTAAAATTCAAGTAGGTATATCATCTTACTAATGGATCATTCATATGTATATTATATAAATTAAAATGTCCGTAAAACTCAGGCCGATATTCAATAGCGTCTACTCTAGTATTTAAAATATGTAAAATAGCATCTTGTTTCCGCTCCATTTATATCTCCAAGAACAGCAGCTTCCAGCAGTACTTTTTCCATTTTTCATAAGTAAAGAGAATGTTGACAAAAAATCAAGAATACGCCGAAAATGTGAACAAAAACAATGAGAATCTTAAGTTAGATCAACAACGTTATAATTATCCTTCAAAATACCGTATTTATTACGTAACCGTATTTACTTAACGTTACAGGCATGAGCACTTTCTATTTACATTCTTTTTACATTTTTTAATACGGTATTATGCTCACTGGCACAACAACCAAAACTGTTATTTCGGTCTTTCCGATATTGCGGTTCATCTGGTCCAACCGATCTTTCGGTACATCCGGTTTTCCGGTCCAACCGTAACCACCGTAATAACAAGGCCGGCCAGCTGTGACGTAAAAATCTCGTGACGTCACCAACTGGAGGCCTAACTCTATTTAGCAGCGTTGATAATTACCCGATAAAAGTTCAAATTGTGGATCTTTTTTCACTCAGCAGATATATTTCGAAGTTTTAAAATGTCTTTTTCCGAGTTTTTAAAAATATTATAGTATATAAAAATAGTTTTAATAGAATACGGAAAAAATCATACCAGTCAATAAATGTTTATCTCTCACTTTTTGTCAATCAAATTTAATAAAGGAATATTTTAGAGAAAAAACAATAAAAATATATATTTTTATAGTATATATTATGTACTTCATCGATATTTTACGCCCCCTACTCAGGGGCAACCACCACTGGTATTGCCGCAGTTGACAGTCATCGATTTATCGGTAGGTGTGTGGACGTGGTAATTATAATCAATAATAGAAGGGTGAAAAAAGTTCTATTCAGAAAAAGTAGCTGGAGGTTAGTACAGTATTTGTGTTCGACATTTATATGAAGGCGAAAAGAAACTTAGGATTCAGTCATTAATGTCCCTAAAATCTACATGTTTTGTGGTTCTATAAAAATCGATACTTTTTATGATTTTACGATGACAATACCTTGTCTAAAGAAATACCACGCGATACAAGTACCATATCGAATCAGATTGGTTTAACATCGACATTACTATTTCTGAACAAGATATCGAAAGTGTGAAGGAAGAAAGGCCTGTTATTGCTTATTTAGAAGGATATTGCTGTTATATTGTTTTAAAGAAATTAAATGCGATACATGTAAGAATAATTTAACATTTTCAGACAATACTGATATTGAACAAAATTCACTTACTAAAGGCAGTCTTGGGTTTCCAAAAGATGAAATAACTTATATAGTTTTATTTGAATATATAATTTTTAACAAAGTTTTGCAAAGCCATGAGGAGTTTCCCAAAATTCATAATAAAAAAATATTTTTATCAAAAATATTTTTGGATTACATTAGAAGTAATAACACCATTATTAAAATTTCCGCAATGTACTATTTATAATGCTAAGTTATTGTAAAAATTTTCATAAATTCTATTAGAAATACACGTCTGAAAAACTACTGTTGTAAAAACATGATAGACTTGGAAAAGGAAATAAAAAAACTTAGACAAACTTACAGCATAAATAAATACAATGACGATGGATAATGTGAGATGGGATATCAATATGATGTTTTTTAAATTTTATGTTTAATTATTATTTATTAAAAATTCGGTGCAATTAAAGTTTATATCCATTATATACGTATAAAGTGTATCAAATGCAATCAAAGTTTAGGCCTCCAGTTGATGACGTCATGAATAAGCTGTCCGGCCTTGTTATTGCGGTGGTTACGGTCCAACCGGTCTTCCGGTCCTGCCGGTATACTAGTTCAGTATCTGTCCCACCGATCACTGATCTAATAATGTTGGGATCGGTATATCGGTTGTAGAACCGGTACTTTGTGATACCGGATACCGATACTGAAATCTTAAGACCAAACATCCCTAGTTCTAAATGCTTACATTGATATGGGAGGAACAAACTTCTACGCTAATTGAAACCACTAATTGCGAGGTTCTGAATGAAGCTTTAGCATTCAGAACGTCAAAATTAGTAGTAGACATATTCAATTAGTAGAAAAAGTTATAAAACTGTTAACTTTTCCACTAATTATACTTCAACATTTGCGAGAAATGTCATTTTGACATTTGATTATCTTCGGTCAAGAGAAATTGTGGTTAGAAATCAAAAGTTGATTGTTTTATAAGCTAAATATTAGGCTTTCTCTATGGATACAACTGACTAACACAAGACGTTGCTAGGATATTCTATTAATTCTAATTCTGTTTTTTTAAACATTGTGAATGATCGTAAACTAAAAAGTATTAAATGTAATTGAAACCACTAATTTATTCCACTAATTGCGAGGTTCTGAATGAAACTGAAAATGTAACAATAAATAATTACGATTTTCTATTCCTTCTCCTCCCTTCTCGCAGTGTTTATTAAATAGTCTAATTCCAGACACGATTTTAACATAATTCTCCAAAGAAGCAACCTTGAACGAGTTTGAAGAAGCTACGAATTCTTTTAATTCGTTTTCATTTAAAATGCTTTTTAACGCCACCAGACCTTCTTCATATACCTAAAATATAAATTTAAAATTTCTATTTAATTTTATTTAAGCCAATAAAAAAATAATTCTTAATACTGTGTAAGTATACTGATTTTTTTGTATTTCACCCTATAAGTAAAAGCAAGGTGCCCGGTGGCGTAGAGGTACAGGCTCTCGTCTACCAATCTCAAGGTAGTGGGTTCGAATCCTACACCCGGCATTTCATCAGCCGACTATTTTTATTAAAATAAAAATAGTTTGGCTACCTAGGGCGACTCAGCCTTAAAAAATGAGTACTTGGGATTCACAATCCTGAGGTAATAATAGGCGGTTGAAGCGTAGTGCTAGCCTTAGGTGCTAGCCACATTACCTTCCTTGTATACCGAACGGCTCTAGCACGTCAAGCTGTATAACTTGCTACTCCCAAGACGTTAAACGCTATGTACGGGAGCTATTATTATTATTATTATTATTATTATATAAGTAAAAGCAAAGAGCAAATGAAGGATACATAAGAAACGAGATGAGAGTCATAAAAAGTACCGTATGATCGAATAAAAACGGCGTCAACGATGGCTATGAAATGAAGATCGCTGTCATTTTATATGTAAAATTATATGGGAAATGTCATCGATCGTCATTTCCAAGCCAACTGGACGCCGTTTTTTTTCGATCATACGGTAGTTTTTACAGAATAGGCTAAGTTGGTGTAAAAATAAGACACGTACTGAAAATGTATTATTTAGTCAGTTTCTTTGTTAAGAACATTTAACAGTAAGTGTTAAGAGACTATCCCCATAGTTTGTTTAATCTTTGTGTTATGAATCATGAAAAAATTAGAATTACAAATCGGTTTCTCAGTGCCGCGTTAAGGTAAATTGGTACTCTAGGCACTATTCTCTTGCCGCCCCCTCTCACTAATAAAAATTCAAGTAAATTTTTAATATCTAATAAAGGCAACAAATGGAATCCCTCCCGCCCCCAAAAAAAAGGAATACAAACATTTTCAAAAATGGAAGCAATTAAAAAACGTGCGAGAAGAAATAAAGTTTTTAACCTATCCTCGCTGTTAAAGTATCATTTAAATCTACCCTTGCGGTTAAAGTACTATTTCATCTACTATTTTTGATAGATATAAGGCAATTTTAACAGTTGCTATGGAAAAAAACTAAATAATAAAATAATATACAGGGTGATTCCTGTAAGTTGGTCATGCTTTCGGGGAATGATGGGGGACGTCGAAATACTAATTTTTATATAGCACACTATGGGTCCGAAATGCCTTTTAGGGTACGAACATGGTACGAACATAGTGGAGGCAGGTTTCTGCTTTCCGGCAGCCAGCGCCGTCTCTGGGTACCTATTCTTGATCATTCGCATCTTCAAATATCGCTCACATCTCGCACCTCCGAAAAAGCCATATAACATTATAACAATACACGTGATGCGTAACTTTGCGTATATGCATCACGTGTATTGTTATATGGCTTTTTCGGAGATGCGAACAGGGTTCGGAAGTAGTTAATTAAGAGGAAATTTACCTGATTAACTAACATAACCTAACCTAACCATATTCAAACGCCGCGCCCGCCGCGCCGGCGCCGCACATAGGGGTATTTGGTCTATAAACCTGGCCAAAAGTAATATTTTTTATTTTCATTTTTTATCTTAACTGAATACAAATCTATAAATAGGGAGTTTTCGTTGCTTTAAAAAAATTTATCGGTACGGTTAACGGATACGTAACCATAACCGCTATTTTGACAGATAAAAAGACAGTTTTCGGACTTTCGGTTCATCGGTTCGGAACCGACATACGATACGATACGATAACCGATAACTGACAGCTGACTGAGCGTAGTGTTTTGATTTGCTTTTTGTATTGTTGTTAGATTTGAAAGTGCTATATATGACTTTATTGGGTATCGCTATATAGGATGGACAATTTAATTTTATTGGACTCTAGTGATGAATCGGATTTGGAGGATGTTATGCTGTTGGAAGGGTTTGAAAACAACATCCAATATCGAGCAGAACTTTATGGGGAGTTCAACCTAGAAATATTATCTGACCAAGAGTGCAAAGCTAATTTCCGCTTTGAAAAAAAAGACATTCCTCGATTAGTTGAAGCACTAAGAATTCCCAACGAGTTTAACACAGATAGTCAACATAAAGTTTCCGGGCAAGATGGACTGTGTATCTTACTCAAAAGGCTAAGCTACCCCAACAGGCTTGTTGATTTAGAAACTTTCTTTGGACGATCAATGACCGCCTTATCAAAAATAGTTGATTTTATGATCAATCATGTATATGAGAACTTCGGGAATCTTCTCTCAAATTTGCAGAATGTGCCATGGTTAAATTTGGAAAGATTTAGGATGTATGCCAATGCAGTACAGCAGAAGGGTTCACCCTTTCCTAACTGTTGGGCCTTTATTGATGGCACTACTAGAGGAATATGCAGACCTTCACAGAACCAGGAAGCATATTATTCAGGCCATAAGAGACACCACTGTGTAAAATACCAAGCCTTAACATGTCCTGATGGCATCATAGTAAGCTTGAAAGGGGGTTATGAGGGGCGAAAACATGATGCTGGAATATTACGGGAATCCCAGTTATACAATCAATTAGAGGAATGTGCAAGGTTTCCAAATGGTGAAAACTTCATTGCTTATGGTGACAAAGCCTTTGGAATTAGAGAATTATTAATGTGTCCATATCCAAATCGACATGGGATTACTCCAGAACAACAAGAGTTCAATGAAAGAATGAGTCGGGTGAAAATAGTTGTAGAGTGGTGTTTTGGAAAAGTTATTAGTGAATTTGCTTTTTTAGATTTAAAAAAAAAAACAAAAACTGTTATTGCAGGAGGTTGCCAAAATGTATATGGTGGCAATTATCTTGACAAATTGTCACTCTTGTCTATATGGCAACCAGACTGCACAATCATTCAACTGTAATCCTGTGCAGTTGGAAAAATATTTGCAGTAAAAATAATACCCGTTTTTTAAAGCTATATACAGTGAATTTTTAGTTGGTAATTAATACTTTCATTGATATTAAGTGTAAGTGGACCTTTGCCATTGATATTAAGTTTATATCCTAATGCATATAGTAAAATCAGTGTAGTTTCCCTTTAACATAAATCTGTGATTAAAATTACAGATATTTGAATTTTTAAATGTATTTACGATGTAAATAAAACTGTATTATTTCAAATGGCTTTATTTTTATTAACTTGGACATGAACATCATAATGATTAACTATAAATACAAAAGATATCAACAAACTTACAGTCCTTAAGATTATACCTACCTATATCAAAACATGCTATGCCTAAAAATATGTAGGTAGGTATACAAAATTTACAAAACTTGAAACAAAAAAGGAACACTTATGTAGTTAGACAAATCTACCTGGATATTAACTATAAAAAATAAAACAGTACAACAAAAAAAACAACATAAAATCAGTTCTTATAAAATCATAGGAACTAAAATCACACTCAAACAAATAGGAACTTACTCTGGATAAAACCAAGTGAATTGTAATGATTTCCAACTTTTCAGAGAGGCCTGGAACTGAGGTTTCATTTTAAGTTTGAAAAGGGAGACGGGACATAGAATAATATTAGAATTTAAAAAGTTTAGCTGTTATTAAACAAATATTAAAAAATAGTTATGTAGGTGGCGCAAACAAATTTACAATATGTGTTTTTCTATGAGGGAATTTAATAATATCTGCTGCTTTTCCAACAATTGCATTAAGGCTTTTCTTTCTTCTTTCTCTTGGAGGAACTTTTCTTTTTGAAAAGCAAGCTTCTCCGATTCCAGTTTTTGTCTGTTGCTCTCCAGTTCCAACTCCTTTTGTCTTATTGCTAGTTTAGCACCATTTTTTTTCCTCTAAATATTGGATAGTGTTTTTTTTTAAATTAGTTTTTGCCACCCTACATTTTCTTTTCCTACTAGGCCCTAAAAAAATAAAATTAACTTACTAAATGTACCTATATAAATACTAAAAACTAAAACTGTAACTAACACTATTATTATTTACCTGCGATGTTTGCCTGAGCTTCTTGTTTTTTACTTTGAATCAGGTTTTGTTGTGGAGGTTGCTGTACTTCCTGTTCAAAACATTGAAGTATTTGATTTTCAGCATCATCACCTAATAAGAATGTTTATAGAGTATACGTTACTTAAGTATTAAATATCAAATATTTGCATGTCTATTCTATGACTTTATCATGATTAATATACAAGTTTACTGACAATCTTCATTGGTATTGAGAATTTATAACATGTATGACACAATAGCCAATCGATAACATTAAGTGGCATAGCATGCAGGTCATACAAACACCAAAGTGGTCGACTTTAAATTCAAGTTGGAAGCCCTCTGCCTACTAAATCATCCAGTAAATCTTTATATTCTGATATGTATATATGTACCTACCATCCATAACCTCATATACATAATATGTTCTTCACCTTTTCCAACAGCGTCTGGACTGTCTGGCAAGACCTCTTCATCAATTGTTGATTCCAGAAGGTTTTCGGCAAAATCATCCCGCATCAATTTTGCATTTTCAGCAGATTTTTGTTGAAGTTTGACCTTCTCCTTCCTAGCCAAAATACTATTTATAAGGTCTAATATTTCTTGCAGCAAGTGATCTAACTGGTTATATGGTTCTTCAATACCCGAACTAAAAAAGTTTCTTAAATAGAACTTCAAGCATGTCTGAACAAAACCAACTAATATATAGATATTTTTTGACAAAACTAAAGAGACTCACCCAAACAAATAAATATTAACAATTAACCCATTCTCAGTCTCAGTAATTGTTAGCAAATAGATGAATAAAATAAATATGCAACAGTAACTTACCGATACATATTTTCCCTCTCCTTTTCCTCAAATTTTTTTATAATATATTGAATATGTTCCCTTACTCCTCTAACTGAAACCTCTTTTCCAGTAGCTTCTGAAAAATTGGAAACCACCACATTCTATTTGGAAGTATGTTCAT